AGAGACCACGCCCCAATGGGCTGGTATCTCAGCTGCTATAGGCTGGAGGAGTGGAAGGACCTCCCACAACAAGTGTAGGTATCAGAACTCAGGTCATGCCCCAAAATAATATGTGCAGAGCTACCTGCCAAGACCCATAATACCTTTTATCCAATAAAACAAAATTCTTTCACAGATTAATAACAACAACAAAACCTAAATAAATAAAGAAGTAATTTTGATACATCAAAATTAAAATGTTGTGTATGGTAAATGTGTATCATAAAATGAATATAATTCAATAACAATGCCCAACAATTAAAACAGAAAATTTGATTACAAAGCTATATTCACAGTGGAAACACTCAAGAATGTGTACAATATTTGTGAAAGAATAAAGGGGACGGAGAGAAAAAGACAAGAACAAAGGCAGGAAAATATAGTCAATTTTTAATCAAAAGATTACAGGAAACATAGCCAGGAAAAATGTAATCTTGACCAATGTTATCCAGCTACCTATGGTTCAATGTGGATAAAAATTAAATAAGCATAGATTTCACAACTTTCACAAAATTAACTCAAAGTGATCCTTAAACTATTGTTTCTGACCCTCCAGCTACTAATATTTCATTCAAAGACAAAGTCCAATGACCTAGAGCTCTCTCTGCCAATGGAGGTGATTTCTTGCAATGACTCTGCAGTCCCTTATGCCTCCTTGTGGTTTTAGGTAAATCCAGCCCCATTGATGCCCAATCCCAGAACAACAAAGAAGAATAAAAGCTGCTTCCTGCTACATACATTATGGCATGAAATGTGGATTCTGCCCCATCTACCTGCCCCAAACCATGCACACTTGAGAAATCTCTGAGATCAGAAACTCCCTTTGTCTCCTGAACAAAATTTCACTGAATCACATCATTGTAGATGGTGGTAGCAGAAATTTAAAAGCATTCTAATTGTATTACTGAAAGGTGATCCACATCACCATCTTCCTACCAGTTTCTAAATCATTTTATGACATTATTAAGACAAACCTGAAAGTGGAATGCAACATTCAAAACTTCTAGAAACCACACCTCCTTCAGTTTTCAATCTGTCTTCCCACTACATACCAAAAGCAGTGCCCGCGTGTGGGCACTGGACAGTGATACTACAAGCATCATATCCTCCTCCCATGTCAGGGCTGCAGAGTCTCCCCTCCTCAGGAAATCCATACACAGGGAGGCAGAGAGGACAAGGGCCACTGCCGACGTCACCATATAGACCAAGAAAACCACAGTCTGGCTCATGGTCCATCCAAATCCCAGTAGATTACAGCTCAGCAGACCTGCTCTGAACACCCTATACCCACCATGGCATGGCTTGTGATCTTCCTTACAACTCCCTACAGCAGAAGCGGAGGAAAATCCTGGAAAGAATGCACAAGCTACCTGTCACTATTACTCCTGATTGCTAGGCTTTTTCCCAGAATCCCTCATGGGCTACTGGCACCCAGTTGGGCCTCAGAATATTAACAGCCCCTTTCCTGGGTGACCAGAGATTAAATGATTTAGAGAGTACAGTCCTTCCAGCTCTGCCCTCCTAGGCCAGCAGACAGGGCCCTAGTCTAGAAAGTTTGTACTTTAACAGACATTCTTCCACTTTCCTAGAGCACATCCTGTTCCTCATCCAAAACGCAAAGTTATTTGTGTGCAAAATCCATTACACACTCAATCTCCAGTGTAGTGAAGCAATTGCTGGGAAGTCCCGCAGACAAACAAAAGTCACATTCACACAGTAACTGTTGTTAAAGAAAGACAGGCCATGAATTAGAAAAAAATTGAGGGATCATGCTAGAGCTTGGAGGCAGGAAAGAGAATGTGGATATGATGTAGTTATAATCTCAAAAATTATTTTGAAAAGTTGAAACAAGCTTTGTGGCCATGTGCTCCAGAGACTAGAGATTTCTCACACCCTTTCTCTAAGGATGAACATCGTAAACCAGAAAAATAACAGTACTGTTAGACAGGGCCATAACATTCTACTCAGGTCTTCAATTTTGGTTGAAATACTTTAATTATAGGAAGTTGGTTTCATGATAAGGTCAATACTTTACCCAGATTTTTGATTACCCTGGCCAGTAGACCATATGAAATGACCAATCAGGACATTTACGGAGCATCTAAAATTGACTACTTAATTCTACATTTCTAATTTCATCTAATTTCCTGTTGAGGCAGGAAAGCTCTCACCCTCTGACCTGCCTCTCCCTTTCTTCACTAAGACTCATAGTTGGTCAATGAACTCAATTCTTACACAGATCTCTCTTCATTTTTAAGCCCCCAATAAAAGTCAAAGTGATTTGAGGACACTCATTAACTGGTCCATTTTTCCTACTTACTGAGGCAGGATTAGGGTTTCAAAGCAATTCTCAGTTACATAGCATGAGGCAAGCCTAAGCTATAGGAGACATTGCTCTACACAGAAATCAATAATCAACATCACTTGAGAGAAAAGGAATAAGACTATTAATTACCTAGAACACTAGAGAACAGAAACAAATGGAGATAAGAGCATAATGCACTTAAAGAAAATATTTTAAAATGATACCAATAAGCCGGGCGGTGGTGGCGCATGCCTTTAATCCCAGCACTCGGCAGGCGGATCTCTGTGAGTTCGAGACCAGCCTGGTCTACAGAGCTAGTTCCAGGACAGGCTCCAAAGCCACAGAGAAACCCTGTCTCGAAAAACCAAAAAAAAAAAAAAAAAAAAAAAATGATACCAATAAGTGATTTTAAAATGATAAAAATAATGTATTTTAAGAACTAAAAAACTTAGATATATTGATGTTGAAAAAGAGTAGGTTCTTCCCTAGTAGAGGGAGTATCATTAATAAGATTGACTGATATTGCCCATATGTATATGTTGGCTGCTGAGGTCTGTAACCTGACACATAGACTTATAGTCAATGGCCGGTTTCTCAAACCTTTGAGCTGACATAACTGTGTCAAGCAGGACTGAACATATTTATCTGCATCAAAGAGCTGCCTAATTAGAGATTCAATATTTATTGGCTCAAGATAACCTTCCCAAACTGCACACTCACACAATCTGGTCTGTTTTCATTTACATGACATAAAACATGCCGGGAAATTACAAAATCACCACTCCCCACCCAGTACCACAGTCAGGTCCTATTTCATAAAGGTGACTCCAGCAGCTGATTTCCTAGCCTGTTTCCCCTACAGAGAACATAGTAAACTATTTCTCCTATTTTGGTCTGAAGACAGAAGCAATGTTCCACATGTGAATCCTTGTGACGGCATTGGACAGTCAACTACATGACTCAAATAGATAATTTTAAAACTCTGAGGTGGTACAGTCATTTAACTTAAAAATTTTGAAGGTGTAATATAGAGGACAGCAAGGTCACTGCCCTAGAGAGCAACAGACTGGAATCAAACCAACCTGAGTCAACATAGGAGAGCTTTTCTCAGAAACATTTTTTTTCTAATGGGATGGAAATGCAGCTATTCTAGAATCAATATGCCTGCCCAGGATAAATCACTTTGCACACTTAAGAGATTAATAAAGAAAAATCTAATCTAATGATGGTATGCATCCATCTTTAAATGATGCTCAAAGAGAAGCCATCTTAGACAGACTTTTCATTCCATATATGCCATCATCCTTAGGTGTCTTTTAGGTTCACACTCCAGGTTACACTCTGAACAATTTAAATAGAGACAGGCAAGTTGCCAGTTTAGGAACTTAGGCAAATGGGAGAGTTGCACAGCAAAGATACTCTCAGAGATCTGGAACAGCAGATCATTCTTCAGTGGCAGGGTCCTAAGGTGAGGGTCACAGGGTATGAGAAAGAGAAGACAAGTGGAAAGATAAAAGCTGGACTGGGAAGGTCTTGCACAAGCTATGTCCCATGCCAAGTTAGCTTCTTAAGAAAAACAGAATCTTTACTAGTTCCAGTAGGGAAATGGAAGGAAATGGGAGGCTTCTATGAAGTCAGTAGTGGGACAAATTCAGGAGGAAGCTAATCAGGCAATGCTACACAAATAGAGCAGAGTATTTCAAAACATTAATTACTAAGCCCACAGTAGCCTTGGGACTGATAACCATAGCTCCATCTGGTGGAAAGAGCTGGATTCTCAGGATCTGAAGCAACCTGTCTAGCTCTCCCAACGTATTCCAGGTTTCAGAGGAGCTCTGTTATATTGTCAATACCTCAGGCCCTAGGAAAAGCTTTCAAGGCCTAAAACCTTGCTTGACAGTGTTCTACTTTTCAAATACTTGTACCTCGTGTCTTATTGTGGATCTGTTAGAACCGATTTTCTCTAGAAGAAAACTGCAACTTTATGGCACACCAGGCCTTAAGTTTAGTTGTGACCCTGTAATGCCTCCTTGAGCAGCTTAGAGGCCTGTTCTTTGATATGGCGATGGGTCTAGAGGTTGGTTGTAAAACAGGGGTGGGGGGCTTCTTTGTAATGATTTGGAGTCAAATGTTGGGAAAATCCTGGTGAACAAATGTGTATTCTAGCATCTCTAATAGGCTTGGTCAGCATACACTTTTGGGTCCTCCCCCAGATAAATTCTATTTTGTGAGACTCGCAGTAGTTGAGATGCCTTTTACAACCTTCACAAAATTAATCAAATGGATCTTACAGGTAGAGGTTAAATGCAAAGTGTTGAAGGTCTAGAAGATATTGGAGAATCTAGGCCTCTCCGAGTTTGGCAACCTCCTTTCCATGGAAGCACCAAAAAGCATTCCAAAAGCATGCAGGCCTTGAATAGAAAGATGTTTCTACACACAGCTCCTTACTGCTAATGCTCTGAGCAAATTCAGCCCACGGAGCTGTTATTCAAAGGCCTGCCTCTTGGTCCAAGGACTTGTAAGGGCTGCAGGAGACCTCACAGGGCAGGGAATCTGGCTGCAGGTTCCCACCCAGATCCGGGGAGGACCCACCATACTGACTCCCGCACCTCTTCATCTGCTCCGCCCCATCTGGGGACAGCAGCCCCGCTCTCACCATGTCGTGGCTTTTCAGCTTTCCCAAACTCTCCGCGCAGCTCCCTGCAGCAGCGAACACACTGCAGCCCCAAAATCGCTGTCGCCAGCTCCTCTTCAAAGCCAATCCTTCTGCCTGTGGCCGGAAGGGTCCTGTACCACTTCTGACTGGCAGGTCGCCTGGAAAGCCTGATTGGCTAGTGAGGTCTGAATGACAAGAGCGCCTCCCTTAGTGGTACAGTATACTTAAAGACACAGCACAATGATTCCTGGTCGTAACTTCCAGCCAGACACAGAACTTTTCCAGATCTGCAGAGGTATACATTCGAATAGCTCTTGCCACTGTCTCCAATAGCAGACCCTGCTATCTTCCTGCACTCCACAGGCACTCCCCCTTCCTTCTCCTGGACGCGTTGTGGCTAGCTAGCTTGTAGAACCCCTGTCCCAGAGATGGAAGGAAGCCCAGAATATTAACGATTAAAGAGAGATTTAAGAACACAAAAGGAGATGTTTGTTCTGTGGTTCCATGCAGAGTCAGGTGAACTGAAGGTACTTTTCACCAGGTTGCCTCAAGGACTTCAGACAACCAGGAAAGAAAAGCAGGAACCAGATCTCAAACAAGATAATAGTTCTTTCTTCCACCAGAAGGCTGGATGATGGTTCTATTCTTTTAGAAATCTATCCCTAAAATTCAGAGCAAACTCATGACAAATGAATAATAGTAACAAGTAGTTTTCCTGGGAAGTTGAATACTTAGAGAATAATGGAGCTAGGAAGAATGTCTTTATGAAATATTCCTTCCTCAGTGGGCAGGTGAAAAATAAACACAATTGTGTTATTCAAGGTTTTCTACAAGAACAGAACTGGTAGAATGGTAGAATGAATCCGATCACGTATACAGAAAGTGATTTATTAGAATGTCTCACAAGCTGTGATCCAGGTAGTCCAACAATGGCTAATTACCAATGGAAATTTGAAGAATCCAATGGTTAGTTGATCTGACCATGAGGCTGGGTGCCTCAGCTGGTCTCCAGTATATACCAAAATCCAGAAAAGTGGGCTATAATGCTAATAAAAAAAAATCAGCTTAGTAGCCAGAGCTAGGGCAAGCAGGCCAAAAAAAAAAAAGAGCTTTTTTCTTCAATATCCTTTATATATGTTATATATGTCAGCTGCCAGCAGAAGGTGTGATCCATTTTAGAAGTGGATTGTATTCTTTATTTGATTGGGTTTTTTTTGTTTGTTTGTTTGGTATTTTTGTTTTGGTATTTTCGAGACAGGTTTTATCCATGTAGCCATGGAATTCATTCTGTAGACTATGCTGGTCTCAAACTCAGAAAATCCAACTGCCTCTGCCTCTTCAGTGCTGGGCTTAGAGCAGTGCACTGCCACCAGGCAGCTAACGGTGGATCTTATCACCTTAAATGACCCATATTAAGATTTAAGAAAAGTCCCTCCCAGGTCCACCTCACTCTTTGGATTTTAGGTAATTCTAGAGGTAGTCAACTTGACTACCAATAATAACTATCACAACAGCCAAGACAGAAGAAATGAAAAAGATTTCTTACTTGCAAGAGGCAAGGAGAGCATGGGAGTTATTTCCAAAACAATGTTTTTTCTAAACAAAGGAAACATGGATTTTACTAAGGGATCTGGCCATGTTCGTGACCATCCCTAAGGCGAGTTCCGCCTATCCCTAAGCATGTCCAGCTAACAAATTCACTTCTGAACTTGATCGTAATGTAAAAGCAGAAACATTTAGGGACACTCTTACCTCAAAGTCATGCAGGGACATATAATAATTTTTAAAATGATGGAAAGAAATGCCTCTCCCATATTCATCTTGTATGACAGGTTTTAGCTGAAAATCAAGTATATGACACTGTGAAAAAATGATTGTTTGGAGCCTATGTGACCTGTCAATCTTGATGTTTGATCTAAAGGATAACCGTACCAGTGCCACGATTCTCACAGATACAAAAGATAGAGAACATAAACAGAAAACTTCAAGGAAAACTCACTTAAGATCACTGTTTCCTCTGCTCCTAGATGAACGGTTATGATGATCTCTATTAAGTTCAGAACACAGCTGCTTTTGCCTCTGAGCAGGCTGGCTCTGCAGAAAGCCACAACTGCTTCCATGAAAGACCAAAAGGATTTCATTTTAACTAGCCCTGGCATGCTGTCTGTCCCAGACCTGCGACATCACTGTAGAGAATTTCACTCTTTCCTTTTTCTAACTATCAAAAAGTTACAGTAAATGGTTAGCTACCATGTGTGTTCTGGGAATGGAAACTGGGTCCTCTGTAACAAAACCCTGTGCTCTTAATTGTTGAGGCCTTTCTCTAGCCCCTCTTTTTTTCAGCTAAAATGTATTTATTATGTATACAGTGTTCTGCATACACGTATCCCTGAAGGCCAGAAAAGGGCACCGGATCTCATTACAGATGATGGTGAGCCACCATGTGGTTGCTGGGAATTGAACTCAGGCTCTCTGGAAGAACTGTCAGTGCTCTTAACTTCTGAGCCTTCTCTCTAGCCCCATAGCCACACTTTTTTAATTTAAAATTTATTTCAATAAATTGTTAATTAAAAGTTATTATATTACCTTTTATCTCTTCATTCCATCCCTTCCCAATTCCCTTCCTAATACTCCTTTCTTTGTTAAGCATGGGTGAATAAGTATGCTGAAATACATGAATACAACCTGCCATATCCATATTTGTTGGATATATGTGGCTAATGGGCTGACCATGTTGTACAGAGAAAACAATTAGGGATCTCATTCCTGCCTGAGGCTGATTCTCTTAAATGGAGGGGAAATCTACTTTTTAATCAGCATCAGGTGTCTGACCCTGACTAGCCTGTGTTGGACAGGAAACATAATCAAGAATAGAATGCTTAAGGTGGAAATACCTTAGCAATTAGGAGCACTAAAGATTCTTTCGAGTATCCAGCTTCACTACTGTCTGTAACTCCAGTATCAGGGGTTCTGACACCATCTCCTGCCTTTCCTGGCCACCATAAGAAGAGGAGACTTGCACGATAAAAGTTACTTTTCCTACCTGGGCCAGTTCACTTCTCATGAGGCAACTTGGTGGTCCCCTGCTCCCAGTCACCATATTGATGCTGAGCTTAGTGCAGACACCCGATATGCATGGCACATTGCAATTCAGAACTCCTGGACTCAAGCAATCCTCCTGTCTCAGCCTAATGAGTAGCTGGAAATACAGGCATGCTTCACCTCACAGGGCAGTGGTGGCACACGCCTTCATCCCAGCACCTGTGAGGCAGAGATGGGTGGATCTCTGTGAATTTGAGGCCAGCCTGGTCTACAAAGTGAGTTCCAGGACAGTCCCCAAAGCTACAGAGAAACCCTCTCTCAAAAAAGGGAATTATTTTTCAAGTACCAGCAATTGGACACAAATACAGGAAGATTACTGCGAGTTTTAAAACCTGTGCTATATAGTCAACACACACACACAACACACACTCACAATGGAAAAGAAGAAAACTGAGTAACATATTGTTGATTGCCTTTGGGTGGATTACTTAGTCTAGGGGTTGTAACCCACCCTGCAGTCAGTTATTCCAAGGTCCCGAAGAGGCACTGTCTGTAAGATATGGGCTGAGAGAGAAGAAGGAGGCCATGCTAGGTTTGTCAGAGCTTCCGTTTATTAGAGACGGGGTACAGCTTATATAGGGTAAGGAGTTGGGGGGTGGGCACAGGGGCCTGGGCTCTTGTCGCGTGGTTCACATTGGTCACGTGGTCCAGGAGGTTACCTTCGGTCAGGTAACGTAGGCCAGGAAGTCACAACTAGGAGCTGACACACCTAGTTCTCTAGACAGTTTGGAATGTGGGGCGGGTTCCACTAACAGATAGCTCTCCAATAACAGCCAATTTGGGTGTGGGGTAGGCTCTGTCATTAGAATGATTCTTAACACAATTATGGGTGTGGGATTCTCTGCAGACTCCCCAGAGTGATGGTTCCTGTAATGATTTTAGGAGGAAATTGGCTCCTGACAACATATAAGAAAAGAAGTATTGGAGAATTGGGACAATGTAATACCTCTTAATTTCAAGTGTCTTCCACTGGTGCTCATAGAATGAATTTCTTTTTTTTTTAAAGATTTATTTATTTTATTATATATACAGTGTTCAGCCTCCATGTATGCCTGCAGGCCAGAAGAGGGCACCAAATCTCATTACAGATGGTTGTGAGCCACCATGTGGTTGCTGGGAATTGAACTCAGGACCTCCGGAAGAGCAGTCAGTGCTCTTAACCTCTGAGCCATCTCTCCATCCCCTAGAATGAATTTCAAAAATAAATACAACCAAGCATGTGAGCACATGCCAGTATTCCCAGTCTCTAGGAAAAATTGAACACTTGACAGTGGGCCACCATCTTAACTTGCAACCTGAACTACCCATCACGAGCTGGGAGTTATTTGACCCACCAAGTCATGAAGTAGGACATGCATAGCAACAATCTGTTATCCAATGGAAGTGGGATATAAAAGATCAGCCCCAAGCAGGTTCAGAAGTCACAAGCAAGCTACATGAAGTTTCCCAAATGCCTATGGTTTCTACTCCTGTTACAATGCCTTCTGTTGCCAAACATACACCTATAGCCTCATGTTTTCCCTAATATTGGTTGACTGAGAAAGGGAAGACTTGGGTTAAGTGTACTGGTGGTTCTGTACATCACGCAGGCACCCCCCAGAAGTGGACACCTGCAGCATTAAAACCACATTCTTTGACATTCTGAAAGATACTGGTGAAGGGAAATCTTCAAATCTTCACAGTGGGAAGAAGGAAGTTCAGACAGTGCACATTGTTATACAGTTTGTTCAGAAGGAGAAATGGCCTAATATGCAACTATTCACTCACTGATAGATGGGCGATAGCCAATGGATTGTCTGGATGGTCAGGGACTTGGAAAGAGCATGATTGGAAAATTGTTGAGAAACACATCTGGGGAAGAAGTATATGGATAGAGTTCTCTAAATGGACCAAGTGTGCGAAGATACTTGTATCCCATGTAAATGCTCAACAAAAGGTGTCTTTAGCTGAGGAGGGATTAAATAATCAAGTAGAGAGAATG